GGTTTCTCTGTGGGGGCCCGCTGTGACTCCCGCTCTCAGCGATCGATCTGAATATTCTGTCTAGCTCATGATAGCTGATAGTTTCTGGGCACAAGATACGAGCGAAGCGCTGGCTGCTACGAAAGGTCCAGGAATTTCTAACCGAACTACTGGCTTCGCCTCCCAGCAGAAGGATGCCGCGGAGACGGAAGTTGACGAGGAGCAGCGGCAGGAGAAACACGTGCGCAGACACGTCGCCAGAAAACTCGGCCCGCTGTATGAGCGAGCCGGGGCCTCCGTAGCACTTCTCCCAGCCAGAACAGGCTTGCTTCCGGCTGCTTTCAGAAACGGCGGGGCGGCTCGGCAGCCCCGGCGGATGAGGTGCCCGGGTGCTCGCGGGGCCAGAGCACGCCCAACTCGGGTGACCAATAGTTCCGAGCCTCAGAATGCGATAGCCTCGCGTACGGGCCTAAGACATCGTGCTGCAGGGCCTCAAATCCTGGGTGCAGATGTGTCCGGGTCAGAAGGTGCAGCCTCACGCGCTTGGCGAACATCGTGCTGCCAAAACTCCACTCCAAGGCACGATCCTGAGTCACAGGATGCAGCGCTCACGTGCGAGGGGACCATCGTCTGGTCGAGGCTCCACTCCGGGTTGCGACTCTCGGCAAGCCCAGCCATCCTGGCCAGACGGCCAGCCAAGCCAGCCCGAGCAGCCCTGCCAGCCCTACCAGCCAGCCCAGTCGGAGAATCATAGCATCAAACGTCGCAAACAAATCGAGACGTGGTGACGAGATCGCGGCGGAGCTTTCCACGCCATCCTCTGTCGTGGTCTCTCGAGCTAGATCGATCCGTGGGTGCAGGAGTAACTACAACTGCAGGGGGCACGAACTCTGGGAGGTCCGCGCGGGCGTCTTGGATCGGCACTGGACCCCCCTCCCCGGCGCGAGGAGCGCGCAGCCAGAAAACAGGTTGCATCACATTTTTGGTCGGCGGCGAGGTGAAGAGGCAGTCCGCTTCAGCGCGCGGCTATTCTGGGCAACCGAACGGCGAATTGTCCGGCGTAGAAGAGGGGGGAAGCAAGACGAGGGCGGACCTGTTGCAAAACAAGGGGATTGAAGAATGGCATAACATAAAAACTCGGAGGTCCGCGCGGATTTCTCGGACCCGCGCTGGACCCCCTGGCGGCGCCTCCGGCGCCGCCCCTGGCGCGCTCCGCGCGCCTGGGAGGGGGGTCCAGCACGGATCCGAGAAATCCGCGCGGACATCAGAGTTTTTATATTTCTACCATTCCCCAATCAGTGCTTGCACTGAAGGGGTCCTAGCGGAAGTTGAAAGATTAGGCGAAAATTTCCCGACGATTTTGGTAGCAAGCTGGGTTCCCGGGTTCCGGGTTCCCGGTTCCAGGCTCCCGGGTTCCCCGTTATGGCCGATTTCGGTGGGTTCTGGGTTCCCGGGCTCCCGGGGTCCCGGTCGATATCCTCAGCGAAAACCATCCTTTGATGGGGGCTTCCCTCTGCGGTGTACGTCTATTCGCTCCCCCAAAAACACGCTTCCGCGGAAGCGGCCCGGGAGCAGGCGCACTTTTGACGTCGCCGCGCGGCAGGGGCAGTCCGCGCGCGCGCGCTCAGCAGAAGACCGGGTGGCCGCACGGCGAGAACTGTCCCGAGTGCAGGAGGAGAGACAGTAGGAGAGACAGCGAGGAGGAGGAGGAGGAGGAGGAGGAGGAGGAGGAAACGGAAGCGGAGGAGGAGGAGGAGGAGGAGGAGGAGGAGGAGGAGGAGGAGGAGAAGGACGACGAGGCGGAGGATGAGGAGTAGGAGGAGGAGGCGCAGGCGGAGGAGGAGAAGAACGACGAGGCGGAAGAGGAGGAGGAGGAGGAGGACCAGTGTAAACCCAAGAGTCATCAACGATGTTGGTCTTCATAGGCCCCTACAGCGGTTCATTTCCATTGATGGAACTGCCTCGTTGGAAGGCACCTGTTTGAAGACCCTGAAGCATGCTAAAACACGGTTCTCCAACACCTCGGATCAACCTGACTGTTGCGTCTTGGCGACCCTGAATCGCACCAAAACGCCATTCCTAGAACTTCAACACAGCGAACCAACGTAAGTGTTGCACCCGCATAGTCCTGAAGCCTTCCGAAACACAATTTCTGGTACGTTGATGATGGGAATCCGTGAAACGCTTGCAATTGTTTAAAACGAATGTGCGAGGCGCTAAGGCGAGAGCCACATTTTTAAAAGGAACCGCACTCAATCCGTGAAGCTCTTGCAAATGTTTAAAACGAATGTGCACCGCGCTAAGGCGAGAGCCACATTTTGAAAACCACCCGCCCTCAATCCGTGAAGCTCTTGCAAAGATTTAAAGCGAATGTACGCCGCGCTAAGGCGAGAACCACATTTTGAAAACCACTGGCCTCAATCCGTGAAGCTCCTGCGATTTTATCAAACGAATGTGCGCGGCCCTAGGGCGAGAACCACATTTTGAAAACCACCCGCCCTCAATCCGTGAAGTTCCTGCGATTTTTAAACGAATGTGCGCCGCGCTAAGGCGAGAGCCACATTTTGAAGACCACACGCCCTCAACCCGTGAAACTTCTGCAACTTCTTAAAAAGGAGGAGAAGGACGACGAGGCGGAGGAGGAGGAGGAGGAGAAGGAAGAGAAGGAGGAACGCGAGAGAGAAAGGAAGGAGGAAGCGAACGCGTTCCCAGGAGCAGACGCGCTGGGCGCAGGTGCCCGCAAGGACTGCGGCCGCAGCACCAGCCTCTCTCGAGAGAGAGGCGGACGGGGGCGATTCGCTGATCGACTTGGCAGGGTGAGGTTCTCATCCGACTCCTCCTCTTCCTCCTCCTTCCGGCTCCCCGCCCTCCCCCTGCCCCTCCCGACGCCCCACTGACGGGTACATCACGAACGGGGACTTTGGCCAGCGACCCGGCAGACGCAACCATACTCCGATGCGGGCACGGCTGCAATGCGGGCAAAAACTGCCTCAACACGCACCTTTGACGGGCCGTGCGAAGCTCTCTTGGATCTGCAATGGCCCTCCCTCCCTGGCGCGCGGAGCGCGCCGGGGGCGGCGCGGGAGGCGACGCCAGGTGGGCTCCAGCGCCGCCGATCCAGGACGCCCGCGCGGAGCTCCGAAAGTTTTGCGTTTGTGCCGTCATTCTCCTTCGACCTCTGGTGGCAGCCTCCGGCGGGCCTCCAAACTCGATTGCCCGCCAGCGCAGGCCCGCGGCGAGGCCCCCGACCCCTTAAGGGAGAAGGGGGCGGGCGCTCCTCGGCCGCCGAGGCCTCGTCGGCCGGCATGGCCCCCCCGCAGGCGCCGCCGGGGCGGGCGGGGGTCGCACCGCAGCGCGGCCGCGCCCTCGCTGCTGGCGGGCGCGGCTCGGCCTGGGGCCACCCTGGGAGCTCAGCGGCTGCCCCGTCGGATGTCTGCGGAGGGGGGGGGGTCAGACAGGAGGAGGAGGAGGAGGAGGAGGAGGAGGAGGAGGAGGAGGAGGAGGAGAGAGGAGGAGGAGAGGAGGAGGAGGAGGAGGAGGCGGAGGAGGAGGAGGAGGAGAGGAGAAAAAGGAGGAGGAGGAGGAGGAGGAGGAGGAGGAGGAGGATTAGCAGCAGCAGCAGCAGCAGCAGCAGCAGCAGCAGCAGCAGCAGCAGCAGGGAGGAGGAGGAGGAGGAGGAGGAGGAGGAGGAGGAGGAGGAGGAGGAGGAGGAGGAGGAGGAGGAGGAGGTAGCAGAGATAACAGCCATGGGGACGCAGCCAAGTTGCCCGAATGCGCCCCGCAGTGAAAAGGAACAGAGGACCCGCCCTGGCTCGACGCTCCTGCCTCCCCGCGCCTTGCCGCCGCCATGCAACAGCACCAGGATGGCGACGTCGTATGCGGCGGAGGGCGGAACGACCACAGGCGACGAGGGCGGGGCCAAACAAAAGTACTCAAGGGGAACCCCCGAAAGTTTGACCCCCGTCTTGGGGTGCAGCCCCTCCCGAGCATTCGCCGGAGATTTCGCCACACCCTGAGGCAAGACGCCAAGCGCTGGTGGCTTGCACAGCGACCTCGGCGTGGGCCCAACACGTCGAGCACCATGGGACCCGGAAGCCGTGCAACAAAAAACGGTCCCACACGCTCCATCTTGTGCCCCGGAGTGGCGGCAGAGGGAAGCAATGAGTGAACACCCCCCCTGCCCCCCAAACTCAAAGTTGGCACGCGCGGGGGAGACTGCGGTCGAGGTTCAACTCATCAGACCCACCGCCCAACTTTGAACATTGGGGGGAGGAGGGGGCGTTGACAGATGAATGTGGCATGAGTGTTCGCTATTTTTTTCCGAGGTCTGGGTGAAACACTCAAGACGATCAAGAACTCCGTCCCCCACCCCGGGCCTGGGCTCCGAGGGCGCCGGTGGTCCCCCGGAGCGGGCGCACCAGGACCGGGGCCCCAGGGCCTCAGCGGCACCCTCGAGGGCAGCACGGGTCGCCTATCGGCCTGGCCGCGGGGGGCCGCAGACGCGTACACATTGTTCATTTCTAAAGCCGCTCATTTCTCTGAAGCCACTCATTTCTCATCCTGCGAAGAATCAGGAACGTAATGACTGTGGGAGAACAGATGGTAATCACGGTTACGAAAATGCTTCACTTGGGCCTCAACGAGAAGACAACGCACAGAACGTGCACGCCAGGCGGGCACGCTCACGCTGCGGCGGGGGCGCATCACACCCCCCGCCACTGCCTTGCGCCAGCAGTGGCGCCAACAGCTCCGTGGTGGCCTCCGTCCTCGCCCTGGCCAGGCAGGTGCGGCAGACCGTCGCATCACCAGGCACAAAGGAGCCGTGTCCCTGGAGGCTGGGCAAGAGGGAAGCGGAGGCCGCAGCGGGAGGCCTCGGGATCGGACCCTCCCGAAGGGCCTCCAGCTGACTACCTAGAGCCTCCTTGCAGGCAGCATGCTGAGCAGCGGCCCAGCCAAAGATCTCAGCGAACAGATCAGCTCACGTGCTACCGAACCGCCAAGACAGAGGCCATTCACCTCGCATGAGGAACTCCCCAAGTGAGAGGTGGGCGGGCACCCGCTCAGTAATGAGGCCCCCGAAAGGGCTGTCCAAGGAGGAGTCCTCGCAAAAAGAAGCGGAGAAAGACGGGGATGGGCTCGCAGGGCAAGGCGAGAACGATGAGGGAATATGTAAAGGAACAATTGTTGGGTGACCCAAAAGGGGGTCCAGCTGTAAGGGGGTAGTGCAATAGATTTTGGGCAAGTGTATTGCACATGTATTGCGCCAGGGAATTGTATTGTATTGTATTGCACGTAATGTGTTGCACGCGAAAATGCAGCAATACATTTGCGCCCAAAAATCTATTACACGTCCCAAATGTATTGCAACCCCACAAGCTTCTTGCACCAAATCTATTGCACCACCCCTTGTCGCTGGACCCCCTCTTGGGTCAATCCGACAATTGGAAGGACGACCACCGAAGCGGCAACAAGGAGTTACCGCTGTTCTACCTGGAGCTACCTCTCCCTAACTCCGCCCGCGGGCCGAAGCTGAAGGACCGAGGTGCATGGCGCGAAGTGCCAGTGCAGCCTCGCAGATCCTCATGCTCGTGATCCTGGATAGACACAAGTGTGCATACGTCTTGAAAACATCGGGGCGGGGGACGCCCCCCCCCCCGTCGGGGCCCGACCCTCCGGACCCCCCGGGGTCCCCACGCGTGGCCCCCCGGACAGGGTCCCCCCGGGACTTCCAGGCCTCCCGGATGTCCCTGCCGGGCCCGGCCGGCGGGCACCCAGGGCGGCCGAGGAGGACGGCAACAAGAAAGCCCGGCGGGAGCCCCAAGCGGAGGAGGCAGGACAGAAGGAGGAGGAGGAGCCGTTGGGAGTCCGGGAGACTTTGGCGTTCAGGAGTTCTTGGAAATGTGATAGCAGCGCTTGCAGTGTCTTCCCAGGGGAGAGGGGAGGAGGATGAGGAGGATGAGGAAGGGCAGGAGGAAGAGGCGGAGGAGGAGGAAGAAGAGGAGGACAGTCTTGCGGCCCACAGGCGTGCAGCTCCAAGAATACCTATCGACCAGTGGCTTGGCTGCGTAGTACAAAATGAAAGACCGCCCACGCCGAGCGACTTCAGGACGGCCTGAATCATGCGCCACAGACTACAGGGCTGCAACAACATAAATCCGGTAGACCCACCTAGACAGGCGCGGGGGCGACATTAATCAAGCCTCGGAAGGTCCGGCGAAGATACCCACCGTCTCGTTGAAGTAGATCTGGAAGGCGCTGTCGGGGGCCTTCTTGTTCATATTGGAAGACCACATGTGTTCTGCAGCCGTGTCCCACTCCTCGAGCGGGAAAAGGCTCTTGAATCGCTGAGTGTCCATAAGGAACTGGTGGCGGGTGACGATGCCACCCCACTTCTCCCAGTTCATCTTGAAGAGCGCGATCTTCTGGTTTACCTCAGGGTCCTCCCACTTTCCGTGGAATGCTTCTCCGCGGAGCGGACGCTTCTGCGACAGCCACTGATCTTTGCTCCAGCCTTGCAGCATACCCTTCACACGCTCGATAGGGGTGCTGCCATGCACAGAACCGGGAATCACTGCGAACTTGTTGTATGGATTCTTCTGAGGCTCGAGATTGAACGTGTTGATAACCGAGGCCATGTAGACCCGGCTGTCCGTCTTCATCAGAGAGACCGCCTTCTCGATGAAGTTCGGGGTGCTCCTCGAAAAATTGCTCCTGTAGAGACGCCACTGAGCGTCCATGTGGTACACATACTGGCTCTTGGCCTGGAAGTTCTCGTCCAGAGCCATCGTGTTGATGTACATGTTGTCGAAGAAGCTGGTGTTCTTCTCGCCGTCTGGGATGGCGTAGTGCTCAAGTGCCCGCTGCCGCACCTCCTGGGAGCCATAGTCCATGACCTTCACCTTCCACTGCGGAGCAGCGGCAGGGCAGTGGTCGCGCAGCAGCTCCGCGGCAGCCTTGGCGGTGGCGGTGGCCGCCGTCGAGAGCCCGGAGTCCACGGTGAACCTCTTGACGGTCTGGCCGGCCGCCAGCCGCATCTCGCTGAAGGAGCCCGGCGCCTCCTTGGGGACGACCATGTGGCTGGAGACGTTGCCAGGCGTCTCGGGGCCGAGCTTGTCATGGCCCACGTGGGGCACGTCGAGGATCACGAGCACGTCGCTGAAGCAGAAGCGCATGGCGCGGAGGGAGGCCAGCACGTTACGGTGCATCTCCTGGAAGGACGGCTGCCCCACCTTGTGGCCGCTGCTGCGACAGCCCGCCACCGGGTCGCAGTGGGTGTTGTAGCTGAAGGTGACGTCGGTGCCTGGGATGGTGAGCCAAGCGTCGGCGATCTCGGAGGCCTCGGTCTCGTTGAGGGGCTCCGCGAAGCCCTCCAGTGCGGAGGAGGCGTCGACCTCCATCTCCGCCCTGTGCAGATTGCTCGACATGGACTCCCGTATCCCCTCCAGCGCCGACGCCTTGAGCTCCTTTGTCTTGGCGAGCTGGTCCTCGGAGGCCCTGTCCTCAAGATCCTCGAAAGACAGTTCCTGACCCCACGGGCGCGCCTCCTGGGTGAAGTCGGGCACGTCCCCCTACAGGCTGGTTTTGGACGAATAATAAAGACTAGTCAACAAATATCTCAAAATAACAAAAAATAATAATCGCCCCTCTCAAATATTATTTCTTGACTATTTGGGAAAATTCCTCCTGTAGAGGGAATGGCCCGACTTCACTCCTGGGTGCTCATCCAGGCGGCGAACTCCCGCTCGCCGGCACTGGGAGGCTGCTGGAGGCCAATAGCGCTCGGCAGCAGCAGCGGGGCCGACGCGAATCGCCACATGGCCGCGCTGGGTGCAGTGAGGTGCGAGGGAGAATCTACGAATGCAGGGTACGCAGCAGCTGAACAGGATGCCCCTGAGCCAAGGCGGCGTGAGCCCAGATAGCTGCGGTGATCAAAGCGGCCCTGGGACACACAAATAAGTTGACACTAATTCCAGGATTACCCATACGTTCCCCTATTTTCTGGATTTTCGTCATCCCCCCCAACACACTTCCCATATTTTCCCGCATTTTTATTGGAAGACGGCATTTAATTGCGTCTGTGTGTCTGTGTGTGTGTTCTTCCCCTCCTGGAAATCGAGGAGAACTGGGGAGGAACAAAAACTGCACTGTACAAAAACCTGTCGGAGGTCTGGGCGGACTCTCTGGATCGGCGCCGACCACCCCGGCGGCGCCTCTGGCGCCACCCCCTGCACGCCCCACGCGCCAAGGAAGAGGGTCCAGCGCAGATCACTCAGATCCGAGAAATCTGTGCGGACCTCCAGAAGCTGACGCTCGTGTCGTTGCTCCTTCTTCGGGAGAGGGAGGAGGAGAAGGAGGAGGAGGAGGAGGAGGAGGAGGAGGAGAATCGAGCGGGCAAGATCTCGAGGAGCCCCGGTGCGCAGCGGGCGACTGCCACAAAGCATGAGGGGCAGCGATACCGTTGAAAGAAACAAGTTTGCACCACTGGGGCGGCACGACAACTGATGATACGACCCCCCCGCCCCCGACCTTCACATTGATAGCGGACGCGCACGCTGAAATGGGATGTATCTTTATTTTTTCGAAGGGCCCCGGGAGATGTCACAACTATCAAGATAAAAATCGGGGGCGCGGGGGAGCAGCAGTGCCATCCGATTCGCAGCTCAACCCGAAATGGTGCAAACATTTTCTTTCAACAGCAGGGGGGGACTGGCTCAGGGAGAAACCTCGACCTGGAATCGGCGATACGTCGTCCATGGATCGGCGGTACCCTTACCACCCACCACCCCGAACCGAAGCTACGAAAACTCCAGCAGCTGCAAAGGCGACTCTCGCCCCAGCGCCGCGCACATTCGATATAAATGAAGATATATATATATATATATATATATATATGTGTACATATATATATATATATGAGTTTACAGCAGCTGAAACAGGGTTGGAAAGGGGTTGGTTATCAAAAGGCGGCTCTTGCCCTGGCGCCGCGCTTCTTGGTTTTACATTTCTGGGGGGAATACTTGCAAGGATCGAGAGCTGGCCCTGTTGAAAATGCGGATCTCGCTTGGGATCTCACCCAGATCTATGATCCGAAATCCCTGGAATTTGCCAGATGTTTGGAAAGCTGGAGGGCGGATCCTTTTCAAAATGGGTCTACCACCTTCGCGCCGCGCACACCCGTCTGTAAAAAACAGCCAGACACACGGATGGAGGGGGGGGTTCTCCGAATGCGGCTCTCGCCACAGCGGCGCGTGCATTCGTCTTCAAAGCTTCCAGCAATGACACACACACACACACAACCAGTCATTTTCAACAGAAAAAAAAAGACCCTCGCCTGAGAGTTACTCCACAAATATTACAACAACGACTACAACGCATTTGTTATTCGAAAGCGTGGCCAGAATTCTGATTTTCTGGTGACAGATTCCACCCGTATCGATCGGGGACTTGGAGATGAGAGCGGACAGCGACGCTATACACGGAGCGCCTCTGTCCTGCGAGCGTGGCCAAAACTCCTGGGAGAGTCATGCCCCCCAAAAACGGCAGAGGCTCCGGACGTGGGCGTGTGCCAATCAAACACGACTACAACGCAGATGCAACAATGCGCAACATGTACACTCATGGGAGGCGGCTCCTTGTCAAAACGGGGATCTCGCCCGAGACGTCCGCAAAGGTGGCGACCAGAGCTTTGAACATGTCCAACACTGTTTTACACGGATGGGCGGCAGGGATCGCCTCCGAAACGGGGCGATCGCTGGACACTTCCTTCAACTCTATCGCTACACCATCATACCGTGGATGGGCAAAATCACAGCAGAACTGATCCGTCACGTTTTGGAATTTCGCCGTTCAGAGTCCGCGGGTTCCAAGCTGGGCACGATCGGCGGCCGCCGCCGAACACGTAAGAAGTGTGCGCGAACGATAGGTGCAGCTGTTGAGCCCTAGACTGTCGTGGCCAGGAAAATGCTCACGCTCGTTCAATGGCGGACTGTCAACGTTATGGTTTGGTTTCGCACTCGTTTCTTACATCCACGGTACCCCTAGGAGGATGAGGAGGAGGAGGAGGAGGAGGGGGAGGAGGAGGACGAGGAGGAGGAGGAGGAGGAGGCGGTGCATTTCTTACACCCCTTGCCTTTTGTCAGCTACAAGGATGGAGGGCGGATCGTTCGCCAACAACGGGGCCTCGCCTGAGTGGCGGGCCCGCCGGCCGCTCGTCGGTCAAGGGGGGGCGCCTCCCGCGGTGGAAAGGAGTTACGTACTTGTCGGGACTTTCGAAAGAGACAGCTTGGGACGGGAGGGTGTATTATGGCATCTCGCATGCATCCTGGGCTAACTCTGGTCCTCCTCCTCCTCCTTGCTCCTCCTCATCCTCCTCCTTTCATCCTCATCCTCCTCCTTGATCCTTCTTCCTTCCTCCTGCCTGCTGACTCCTGCCTCCTGCTTGCTGCCTACTACCTCCTTCCTCCTTCCTCTTTAACCTTTGCTCCTCCTCATCCTCCTCCTTCCTCGTTCCTCCCTCCTCATTACGCATTCCTCCTTCCTCCTTCTTGCTGCCTGCTGCCTCTTGCCTCCTGTATCCCGCCTCCTGCTGCCTCCTGCATCCTGCCTCCTGCCTCCTTCCTCCTTCCTCCTCCTCCTCCTCCTCCTCCTCCTCCTCCTCCTCCTCCTCCTCCTCCTCCTCCTCCTCTCCCTACCTGGCACCAACATTGCAAGCAACAGAGTCAATGCGCCCTGGCCCTCACTGCTCGCAGACAGCTCACGATCAACACGCCCGCGAGGCGAGCTCGCAAACGATGCACAGCTCATGGATCCGAAGGCCGTGCCTCGACGGCGATCTGTTCTCTTCGGAGGCAAGACCTCCCCCTCCGAGCCCGAGTCCGAGCGGAGTTGAACGACGAGGACGAGGACGAGGACGAGGATGAGGGCGAGGACGAGGACGCGGGCGAGGACGAGGACGAGGGCGAGGACGAGGGCGAGGACGAGGACGAGGACGAGGACGAGGGCGAGGACGAGAACGGCCCACGCCTCGGGGCAGAGCGCGGCGCGCGCGGCGCGGGCGGGGGGCGCCCCGAGGCCCCAGGCCGAACAGGCGCGACAGGAGGCCCATCCCGGCGCTGAGGGGGCGGGCCGCGGCCGCCCGCTCTGCCGGCGCTGGAGCGGCGGCGGAAGCGGCGGCGGCGGCGGCGGAGGCGGCGGCGGCGGCGGCGGCGGCGGCGACGACGACGACGACGACGACGACGACGACGACGACGACGACGACGACGACAACGCGAGCGGCGGCGGCGGCGGCGGCGACGACAGCGGTGGCGGCGGCGGCGACGACGACGACGATGGCGGCGGCGATTGCGACGGCGGCGGCGGCGGCGACGACGACGACGGCGGCGGCGGCGGCGGCGGCGGCGACGGCGGCGACGACGACCACGACGACAGTGGCGGCGGCAGCGACGAGGACGAGGACGATGGCGGCGGCGATGGCGGCGGCGGCGGCGGCGACGACGACGGCGGCGGCGGCGGCGGCGACGAGGACGACGACGGCGAGGGGTGTCTGGAATAAAACCAAAGCGCGCTGGCGGTTCTCATCAGCAAGTGGAGTACTAAAAGGTGGTATCGAGTGCGGTGGTACCTTCTGCCAGGACCCACGGCGAGAAAACAGACAGAACGGGCAGGCAGGCAGTCGGGCAGCTGGGAGGAGCGCAAGGGATGAGAGATCGGGCGGGCAGCCAGAAAACGGAAGGGTGGGAAAAATTGAGGGAACCTGGTACACGGAGACGGGGATGAGCCCTCGAGTTCAGTGGTGGGCCGCTGGGAAATCGAGTCGAACAGTGTGGGGTGGCGGTTGAAGGGAGACGGAACGGAACAACAACATAGTGGATGGGGCCGATAAGAATGAGATAACGGCCAGACAGCCAACAAACGCAGGATGGTCGAGCAGGCGGGTACCATATATGCGAGAGGAGGATCTCATCTTGTGCGGAAAGCAGGGGCCGAGAGGGATGGAAGAAGGGGCGGGCAGCCAGAAAGGAATAGGATGGGATAAAGTGCGGGCTGCTACCCAAGTTTTGTAGGGCAACCCCAGGCCTGGATAAGGTGAGGAACCGTCATCGTGTTAAACACTTGCATAATACACTGGGGCTGATATCGTGCCGCCGTCGATGTGGATTTACAAAGTTGCTGTCGCCGAAGTATTGCTGCCTGGTTGTGTCCAAGGCTGCGCATGCACGTGCGCACTGTACGCTGCAAACGGCTTTTAAGATTTACCTTTAACCTCCAGAACAAGAGCGTGCAATGTTTGGACTGCGACCCAAAATTTCGTGGGCTAGCCCTAAACCTAAATAGAGTATTCCACCTCCGCCACCCCAATTACAAAAACCAGCGACCCACCGCCTCCAAGAGTAGCTGCGCGAGGTAGAGCGCGTGATTTGCGCAAAAGAAGAAGGGCAATCCCGGGCCGTCTACCCAGGTTTTATAGGGCAACTTCAAACCTGGATAAAATGAGAGACCACCAGCGCGTCAAGGTGCCGCGCGGGCGAGGGAAGAGGGGTGCAACGCAGGTCGGGTGGGGTACAGTGCAGCAGCGGTACAGCTAGTACACAGCGGTGCAGCTAGAATCATGCCACCGTCGATGCGCACTGAAAAATGACTGTCGCTTTAGTAGTGCTGCCTGGCTGTGTCCGGGGCTGCATGTGCAATGAGGTTTTCAAGGTTCACCTTAACCTCAAAACAAAGAGCGCGCAACCTTTGGGCTGCGACCCAGGGTTTTGTAGGTCAGCCCCGGACCTGAGGGGACGAGTCCGCGAGTATGCGACGTGGATGATGGATGACAGGGGAGAGGTACACGATGATAGAGACAAGCAATCCCAGGGCTGCCACCCAGGGCTTTGCAGGCTAACCCCCAACCTATCGCTTGCAAGCGTCACTGACGTGCCAGAAGAGCTGCGAGGAGAGCG